TTGAAACAGTGACTTCAAGTGAAGTAAAAGCTTGCAAGGAGTATAGTAATGGAATTTCGATACAAAGACTTGAAATAACAATGAAAATGCAAAAATTGTCAGAATTAGCTACAATTGACTCAAAAGCTAATTGCTTCTCAAAATCATTAAAAATTTCATTTCAATCATTTTGACAAAACACACACATGTTACCAGTTTTGCTCCGCCCGCTATCGCGCGCATAACACGGTAGGCTTTAGCGAAACTGGAGGACTTAAGGAACATCTGGTGATCTACTCCACAAAGCAGCTCACTATTGGATATGTTAGTGGAGTGACCTGAGGTTGGAGGATCTCCACTTTCATTGAAGTCCATCATGGATGCGCGTGAATGCGAAGCTGAGCTGGTATATTATCACAACTCTGTAAACACCCAGCATTTTTCTTGAATCCTGACAATTTAGCGGTGAATAGGTTTTGCTGTTAGCCTCAGAATGAAAATGAAATATGCTCCTTATAATAAGTGAGATCTGATGCTTATCTTTGCTTTACATTCACACTTCGCAAATCCTAAAGTTGAGCGGTTTAATGAGTTTGGCTCCGCTCGCTACCGCGCGCTCAAAGTACATAGGCGGTAACAAAAATGAGCACAGCCGGGCTCTTGTGTTGAACAGCACTCATGCTTTTGATGAATCTGAGTGATGTTATCAACGAAGGTGACTATACTGCTGGTGATAAAGCAATTATTTGGACGTTTAATCCCACAAACATTCCATCATTTTCCGAAAACTAACATGGTCTAGCGGCTGAGTACATGGTCTAGCGGCTGAATAAGCTTGGATAACTGACTCCTTTGCTCAAGCTCCACGATAGTTGTTTACGCTATCAGGACTTTGTTAGCATGACAACTATCATGCTTTGGATGTTGGATGGTTTAGCGGTTGCAACTTCTTACGTCTATGGCATTGAAAGAGAAACACCAACACTTATTATGCACAAACACCGACCATCCCAGAAAGCTCGGAAAGATTAGCGGTCTAAGCAATCTCGATGGTAACGACGAAATCGCAAACTAAATGGTATTTTTTGTCGCCATCTAGATAACAACTTTAGCGGCTCTTCATTTTTAACCTGATCAATCTTATCAGCCCTTATCAGGTGTTATCACTTTCTGTCCCCACCAAATATGTTCCCGTCCCACCCCCTATATCATATCTTGAAACCAACTCCTGACGACCACTGGTGCCCGAGCTATGAATTTCGCGACACTTGCGTTCTAGCGCCTTTTATCAGCCCTTATCAGTTGTGATCACTTTCTTTACCCCACCAAATATGTTCCCGTCCCACCCCTTATCTTCGTATAACTCTTGACGACTACTGTATGCTATACGAAGTTATGTCAACATATTGTCATACATCACACACCAGAAGAAGACATTGGCCGATTTTATATAGGTTGATTATATTAGGACTCCTATTTACTTTACTAGTTTTTAAACTCTTCATATTTATGAGAAATGGAACGAAAATTAATCCAGACTTAAATTTCGTGCGTTCAAAATCCGTCTTGATTAAAGCGTCCTGCGGGTGTCAGATCAGTGTATAAATAGAAACCGGTGTATTATCAATAACGTTTGCAATGCCGCGTGGATAAATCCAATTTTTAGCCATTCGAACTATAGTAGGCTAACAGCGGTCGGGGGGGGTGATTTCGACACAGTTCTGTTTTCCAGGCAATGTCCTCTCCAAGAATTGCGTCGATGAGCGGAGAATTGGTCCCTCGTCGGAGGCTATCTGGCTAAACCTTGGCAGAAAAAAAAGCTGCCCAAAGTGGGTTTTGGGCTGCGGGAAGTGGACTATCCGGTTTGCCAAGCAACTACAAGAGACCTACCTAGAAGCCTTAAACAGCGACCACAGGTTGCACAAATAGTCAAGAACAGCTCTTCTTCTCGTAAAGAATGTGAAAGCAATTTCTGCTTGGAACACCAGTACCTTTTGCAGCTCTTCCAACAGTAAAAAAGAAGTCCGAGAGCAAGGTTATGTATAGTGTTATATATGAGTTGAGTCGCATAGCATATTTTTTTGATTATATTATACGTGTGTGTGTGTGTGTGTGTGTGTGTGTGTGTGTGTGTGTGTGTGTGTGTGTGTGTGTGTGTGGTGTGTGTGTGTGTGTGTGTGTGTGTGTGTGTGTGTGTGTGTGTGTGGTGTGTGTGGTGTGTGTGTGTGTGTGTGTGTGTGTGTGTGTGTGTGTGTGTGTGTGTGTGTGTGTGGGTGTGTGTGTGTGTGTGTGTGTGTGTGTGTGGTGTGTGTGTGTGTGTGTGTGTGTGTGTGTGTGTGTGTGTGTGTGTGTGTGTGTGTGTGTGTGTGTGTGTGTGTGTGTGTGTGTGTGTGTGTGTGTGTGTGTGTGTGTGTGTGTGTGTGTGTGTGTGTGTGTGTGTGTGTGTGTGTGTGTGTGTGTGTCACGAAATTCATAGCACGCGTCGCAGCAGTCGTTAGGAGCTGATTTTTGATATGATATAGGGGGTGGGACGGGAACATATTTGGTGGGGGTCACCAAGTGATAACGACTGATAAGAGCAGATAAGAGGCGCCGAAACACAAATTTCACGAAATTCATAGTGCGCTTCGCAGCAGTCGTCAGGAGCTGATTTTGGGGCATGGTATAGGGGGTGGGGACGGGAACATATTTGGTGGCGGGTCAAAAGTGATAACGACTGATAAGAGCAGATAAGAGGCGCTGAAACACAAATTTCACGAGATTCTAGTGCTTTGCAGGTAGTATGGGAGCTGATTTTGGGATGTGCGGAACCTATTTGGTGAGGGGTAAAACGTGATAATGACTGATGAGGACTGATAGTATCGATATGCGTACGAACGTAGAGAGCCCTTGAAATAGAAAATAGAGAGCAGATTGTAGATAATGCCTTTCATTTCAGTGTCATTTCATCAGCGTTGTAATTGTAAACTCAAACACCTTTCGACCGCTACACCTTCTGAGTTCTTGAGGATGAATGGGATGCTCGAATAAATATGATAATGAGAACTAAGAGCTACGTTTTTAGTACATCGACTTGCTAATTACTCGTACTCGATAATAGGGTTTGTTTTACTCATCCTTTAGATGTGCACTTCATCTGGCTTATCAACAGTGCGCTACAACTAGCCGCAACGGAAGTAATAATTTACGAAGCAGCTATATATTGAGCCCGACTTTAGCCTTTAAGTGATTTTTAAGGTCATTTATTCGAAATGGGCCGCAAACATAATTATTGTACTATAACAGACCTACCTAGAAGCCTTAAACAGCGTTATTCTAGGGGCGGAGGATCGCTGAGGATCTGCTCCGGCTTTCTAATGGGCGTAAACGAGAACCAACAAAATCACCACGTCGAAAAAGGATTGTTGAAGGCGGACCTCATGTACGCATGGAAATGGCCAGCAACTTCTTTTACCCATTACCTCATCGAGCAGGCGACACAACGATTTACATGGTCGCAATCAAGACGGTGGTTAGAAAGGATATTTCACAGCATCCTTCTTTTCTCGTTTTTCTAATGGTAAACAACTGGCAGTTTCAGAAAGAAAACCCGCTGTCCCACTCGACTACGAACAGGTAACAAAGATGGGCAACGACCCTTCGAGCGTACGACTTGAAGGAGAAATTCACGCTTAACCCTTTCCGGACCGCGCACTTTTGCCGTGGCGTGCTGCGCAGGGTGAGCATAAATAAATATATTCGACCTGTATTTCCACTGAAATCATTACTTTGTCCCGTTTTTGTATTTGTCATGCCTTAAGAGTATATATGTAGTGAATATGACAGAAAACCGTTGTGTAATAAAAGTGATAGGGCCATAAAAAGGGAGGCAGGAATGAAAATTGTTCAAAATAAGTTGTAATGGGGAAAAGGGACCAGAAAGTGTCCGAAACGTTTGGATTAAATAGCATCAGATACGAAATGCACGTGATGACAGTTGTAGAACACTTCGCGCTCACTTCAAAAGGACGAATTCACGATGAAAAAGCAACCCATTTCAAATTAACCTAGGGATGGTGAGTGGTACACGAAAGAAGGAAGAACCATGAGAAACGGCCCAGAACCCGAGAAATGGGACCCCTTCCTTGCCCGTTGATTCGAGCATTGATGCGACTCTCATCGCTGTGCCCTCTTCAACACTACGCTCTCTCAGCTATCTAATCACTCGCCACGTATTGAACTACGGCGAGTGATCAGATGATCGGTGGGCGGAGATCGCCGACCCGCCAGCTTTGAGGCATGATAGGTCGCCGAGGTCAAATTTTTCCATGCGAATTGCGCGTCAGTTCGCACCCTCAGGAGGTCCGTGGGTCCCTCAACTAGGTCAGTTTCCCTTTCTTCGACCTTCATTCTAATCGTGAATTCCTCCTTTAAACCCACTCGTCAGCGCCATATCTGAGTACACTTACAGTATAAAAGACAAATGCCATACATGGTATCGTAGAGCAGGAAGAAGTACTTTCAAATGTTATAAGTGATTTCCTGG